GGATGTGGAAGACACTCAAAGTGCAAGTCTTGGATTGTTGCAACTGTTGCACGGGCAGTATGGGGCCGAGCATTGTCATGTCAAGGACACCTCTAGTCAAAAGTCCACGTCGCTTTGATCTGACTGCAGGTCGAAGATGATTCTTCAAGATTCTTCACTGATCAAAAAACGAATTACAGAACGTTGTTCTTCTTTCGTGCACGTAACTAGTGGAGCAGCCATTTTCAAATTGGCACTGTGATGGCGATATGTTTGTCTGCATTATACTACCACCTATAGGATACTCTTTATAGCATTGGTAACATGTCTGCCAACTTATAGGACAATGGCGCGATATTTCAAATTTTTATCTGTTTTACGGTTTTCATTTGACTCACCCTTGTATTCAATTTGGACTGAATGTTATGGTAAAGCATTAACAACTCTGCTTCACATTTCAAAAATCCAAGATTCTAATCTTGGTCTGGAGACCAATCATGATTGAAACATTTTGTAGTTTTATCAGTCCCTTCAGACAAATGGCATGATAGTGTCTTGAATTAGGTCACAACCAATTCCTTCTACATCCTTTTCAATTAATTATCTAGTTATATTATCACTGACTCTATTTAATCTTCAGAATCAAAAGTACCGTCAAATAAACCAAGAATAAAAATATCCAATTGGGTCACTCCTCAGTCATCAAACATACAGTAATTTATTATGGAATATTGGCACAATTGTGTGTCCATTTCATATTCTCAAAGTCTGAGAACCAGATCCTACAACCATTAAATGGACAATTTTCATGTTCTCTTTTTCTAACAAAAGTGAAAGTAGTCACTTAAATAGACCACAACTAATTCCCTTCAATCAATTCACAATTAATAAATATCCAACCATCATCCTAAAACATTCTATACCAAATACAAACCACAAAACCATATAAACAAATTAAACCATGTATAGTACGATATAACTAACTAGGACTCTAGAAATAAGCTCACCCACTCACCACAGGTGAGGTTACAGAGACAATGTGTACACCATTAGCCTCAGATTATACCAATGAATTACATTCTGTCGCATGATTAATCAATTTACCTAGTATTTCTGGAAACTTGTAAATAACTACCCCAGATTCTTTTGGTAGCAACAGAATTCTATCATGCAAGATGTGCTGCAATGAACTACAATTGGGAATTAAGGTATGACAGAATAGGACATAATGGAAACTGCTATAAAATATAAAATGTTCCATAAAGAACAAAAGGTAACGTACAGTAAGTAGTAAACACCATTAACACGTTTTCTCATGAAAAAATTAGAAAACTATGGGACTTAATTTTTCCTTTCACTTCATGTACTGTTCTCAACTTCGATTACACTGATTGTGTACTTTTTAAGATCACTATATGAATAACATAAATACACAACATATGGTTAATCTGCCATGTTTAAAATAGTATATTAACAAAATCTGTCAATGAAGTTTAGGAAATAAATTAATTATAAACAGTAACAAATTCCCTTTTTGAGCATCATTACTGGCTTCTGATTCATAAGGGGAAATGCATTACAAATCATGTAATACAAAAGGTATCATTTAATTTTCAAAACACCATTTCTTTTTATTTTCACCCACTCTTATATGAAATCCTTCCATATACAGGTCCACAATTTGTCCTTCCCAGACAGATTTATCAAGACCTTCAAAATGCAGTATATGAAATCTAGCTAGGTGGACTGGTTTCCAGATATTACATAAAACAACTGGAAAGAACTTAGAAAACCCTCATTCCTTCAAATGTTTCAGTCTATAAGGTGAAGATAGAAGGGCCAATAAATTAATAATTATGGAATTTAGATATATCTATAGACAGCTTCCATTAACACAAATTCCAATTGTTTTAGCCAGCAATTGAATATGGAAAAACCGGTGACAACACATTTATACAAGCATAGATAACACAAAATGTACAAGAATTTACCCATACAGCAAAATTAATTTATGAAAATGATGGCTGCAAAGTAATGTATGTTACTATTTTCTCAGCAAGGAAGTTTTCCAAATAAATACATTATTCCTTTGTCTGCACTGACAAGCACTCTATTCTAACCTGTTTCACACACTTCCTCTCATAAGGATTTTCTTTTTGCATATCCAAATAAGTTTATGTACACTGATAATTAACTTCCCAAAATCCAGTCAACAGATAAAAATAAAATTAGATAAAAAGGATAATGCTTACAGGTGAGAGAACAAGCAGCATTATCTGAAGTGACCACACTGCAGCTCTGCCCTTCTTGTTATCAGCGAAGCTGTCCAAGATGTCAAACAGACCCTCACAGCACTTGGCTAACTCCTCGTTATGCTTTTTCTTTAATAAAGATGAAACACAAAATCATTTTTTAGCTTCCCAAACATATCTGGAGAAATTAATTTATCTTTATAAATTACACTGAAAAACGAACTTCACTCGCAAATAAAACTAGTTCAAACAGCAGCACTGTTTGTTAGACAGAATGCAATTAACATACTGCATGAAGGCATTTTAACTTCTAATTAACTCCACAGTATTTGAACTAAGCAGTAGTGTCGGAGAGAGATGAGATGGTCAACTGGCCAACAGATAAAATTCTAATTCAATTCTAAAAGGTTCTGATGATAGTGGATTATACTTAGGTACCTTCCCTCTCGCTTAGAGACAGAAACAGAGCCAGTTTCCAAAACATTGTGGTTTTCCTTTTAAACAAAGACAATGGAAAAAGACTAGATCACAAATAATTTTAAGTAAAATTCTACATTGCAGAATATCAAAACAGCACCACTAGACCTAAACTCTGCACACTGAATAAACTTATTACAGAGGTAATGATTTCACTTGGAAATTTGCCAACTTCAACCATAAAGAACACCTTCCTCTAAAGGGTTTTTAAAAAATAATAAAACTATTGTAATTAAACAGTGAGAATAGATTAAATAAAACCACATACAGAAACACATCATATTCTTTAGATAATACTATTGTCAGAAAATTGAGTATTCATTATAAACCTACAATTTAGGAACTACAGTTAACGTTTTGATAAACCTTCATGCTAAGAATACTGTGCACATTGTGCAAGAAATACCTATCCATTATTAAATACCTGTAGATCTGCAAATTCATGAGGATATGTATCCATCCAGTTCCAGACAGCCTTCTCCAATGAAGTCATAAGCACCAAATGTGCAGATTTCTTCAATAATCTAAATTTCTGAATAGATTCTAAAACAGAAAATAAAATAAAAATCAATTTCCTATGCAGTTTTAGACAAAAAGTACAATTACATATGAAACGGAAGTAACAAAAAGTAGGTATATGCAAAATAATCCTCAAAATTATCAATTCCTTTTTCCAAGATTTTGACATGACATTAAAAGACAATGACTGGCAGACAACTTATTTGGTACAAATGAGAAACATGGCCTCTCAAAAAGAACATACTCTCTGATTAAGAGGGAGGACCTAAGAGAAAGGAACTAAAAGAAGATGGAGAAAACTGCATAACAAACTTCATAATGTGTACTCTTCATAAAATATTAATGGGATAATCAAATTGAGACATGAGATGTAAAGAGGAATGTAGCACACATGAGAGGTATAAGAAATGCATATAGCTTCAGCCAGAAAACCTAAAGAGAAGACATGGAAGACCTAGGTATAGATGGGTAACAATATCAAAATGTAACTTAAATAAATAAGTAGGGGAGGTTGGGAACTGAATTAATTTGGCTCAGGATAGGTTCCATAAGAAGTGGGAAATTTCTTGGCTAGCTAAGCAACTATAAGCTTCTTAAGGATTACGCTGCATTAAGTTAGTAAGTTAGTTATTAAGATATATTTTAAAAATACGATAAAAAATATTTGTGCAGAGGTGCTAACCATTTAGTAATCGAGTCAGTCTGTTTACATCCACATTAATATACTGAATCAATTCAATATCACTGTAGTCTGGATTTTCTTCATTGCATGTGCTCAGCTCTTGTAACCTAGAGGAACAGAATACTTTTATTAGTAAAAAATATTAAATATATTGTTACTGCCTATTTATTTTCAAACCACATGACACTCACCTTGCTGATATTCTATTAAAGACTGCATTGAAGAAATTCAAGCTTAATGCAAACAAAACTTTACATGCCAAGTTTTTTAATTGCAGTACTGTTGGATTATCATTTTGAACATCTGCAAAGGAACAGTAACATAGATCACACTGAAAGTCCTTGGCTACAAATCTAGCTAGAAATTAAATTAATGCAAACTATGAAAACATGAGCAGATGTTCTACCAGTGAACACCTTCATATTACATTATACCAAACTTCCTGATAATGGCAGTTAATTTCAGCAAGTAGCATGAAGTAAATGATACAAGAAATCCAGATTTATAAAAAATAAGCAAGAACCACGTTTCACTGGATATTACACATTTTAATTGAAAATAATAGTGTTATCTACTTTTGATGCAATGGGTTTGACTTAATTTCATTAATAAATTTATAGTAGCTTGGCAAATGATCAGAACAGTACTTTTTTGTTCACATCTGAAGCCCACATACAAAACACTTAGATAAATTATACAGGAAATCAGGTTTCTTAAAGAAGTGAGTGGGTTGGTCTTATGGGTTGTAAATTGTAGGTTTTAGACTTAGAGGAACAAAACACCTCCACCTTCAGGGCTGTATGCCAATGTTTTTGAAGCCCACTTCCTGACGTTCACTTTAGTGCTCAGTCTACTGATCACTGTTTTTGTGTAATGTACCAGTAAGCGATAGAATTTGTAAGCTTGATATCACTAACTTCACCTACAATTTTGCTGGCTTAGAGTAGATATATATATTATACTTGACTGAATAAACAGATACAGTTGTATTCATTAACACAAGCTGATATAGTGGCACATTACAGGACTCAAAGTAAAATTAAATTAAATACAGTAGTTTCATTTTAGCAACATGGAAAACAAAAATTTTGAGTGTGTTATGAATAGTGTGTAGACAAATGAAAATTAATTCAAATTGAAATAACAAAAACTAACATGAAACAACGTCTGAATTAATGCATATGTAAAGAATGCACAAAATGATATACACACAAATTCAATACATGAAAAAGAATTTTTAATAAATTAAACCACTGCATATGTCAGAACTGACAATTAGTGAATTAGCAAATCTAGTGTAGGTGTTCAAAATGGCCATACACACAGCTGACAGCAGTCAGCAATTGACTGACAAGTAGTCATCAAAAGTGTATATGTGTAGACATCATTGTGGGACACACTGTATATACACTTTTGGGGAAAGGAATGGTGCCAGGTCAAATAAATTTCCAAAAATTACAGTTCAAATATGACTGCTGTTTTAAGAATCATGTATCACTTTACCTGAAAAAAAGCAAAATCACCACTTCATCCTCAAGTCTGTGTCTTAACTGAATAATCATATATGTATACATTTTCTAAAAGATCAATACACTTGACTGCTGAGAATGATCAAACAATTATGTTTCCTGAATTTCTAGGACTTACTTCCCTTTACCCTGGCACCGCCAAATTTCTGTAGGCATGTGTACATTTTCTGCATAACTTGTACCTTATCTCCAGCACTTTGGGTTAGAAACTGATAACCAAGTCATTCCACTTGGTTTGTTACTACAGTCTGGAGCTATGAACCATGCAAAGATTTTACAAATCTAGTCTCTAATTAGGATGTGTACATTACTTATTCTGTTACACACTTAACCATACCACTAATTATCACCAGCCATCTTATTAAACAAAAAACAAACACTTGAAAAATAATGTAACGGTGTGTGTAAAAGTGACGGTAAATATTCAGTGTATTTCACAGCATTACTGTTTACAGAAAATAAAGTTTGTATATGTGTTTTCTATCAACTTTCTGGACAGCATATTCCGTTGAATGCTGTAACTGAATGACTTGGAATTTCCTAAACTTAGGCACACTTAACCCTTTGAAGTCAAAGCTTGTCTAAATAATATTTGAAAAATTCAGTTGTAGGTTCTGAGGTTCCCACGGTGGTGAGTAAGAAGATGGCTGTCTTCTAGATTGTAGCACCACACAGTGTGGTAAAAGTTTACCAATGTTTCAGAGGTCCTTGCTGCCTCAAGGAAAATACATCATATCTTCATCACAAAGACCAACTGATTAATGCACTTTAATGAAATAATCACTGTTTATTCTGATTATCATACAAAACCCATAAATACACACTGTGGGCAAAATGCAGAAGATATAATAAATTCTGCTTGGGCTACCAGCCATATAAGGTGGTTTAATGAAGAGGATGAATATGGTTCTCCAAACAGTGTTTTCTTCATTAAACCACCTTACATGGCTGGTAGCCCGAGAATAATTCATTATACTGGGTGCGGCAGAGGAAACGCATGTTTTTCGAATGGCTAGTACTCGGCAAGGAGGAGGGTGGGGGATTTCCGCCCCTTGCTAGTAGACAGCTTAGATGATGCAGTTTCTGTAGCCATGGCACCGTGGACCCGATATTTGTCGTTGAAAATTATATCAAAAGTGGTGAATCCATAATTGCCGTTCATCTCCCGTTTTGGTGATATCTCTTGGCCGCCTCACTCCCCTGACCTGTCCGTATGTGACTATTTTTTGTGGGGTTACCTCAAATCAAAGTTCTACAGAAACAAAACACGCAACATCCAGGAACTGAAAGATTTCATTCACCAGGAAATCGCTACTGTGGGGGAAGAAATGTTGGGAAGAGCAATGCAGAATTTTGAGAAGCTGCATCAGTGCGTACAGGAGAAAGAGCATCACTTGACAAACGTTATTTTTTGGAAATAATTCAAAAATGTTCAACAAAAAACTGCATTGTAAAAACTTTCTTTTTGTGTAATTAAATTTTTTTTAATTGAAAATCAACTGAGTTATTGTTATTTGAAAAACATGCGTTTCCTCTGCCGCACCCTGTACTTAGTTGCCATGAAAGCTTTAGATCACACAAAAATGCAGAAGAGTTGATGATGGTTAAAGCAGATGGAACATACAGTTACCACCAGGCTTTAAAGGGTTATGGATATCCTGCTCATTTTAAATAAGCTGTATCTGTTACAGATAAATTTATCCCTGTGCATGAGCATCATGCCAAGCTCTGCACATTCAAGACATCTGTTAAGTAATTGTCTTCATGCTCCAACAGCTTTACACTCATGGAAAGCCACGGCTCACATGTAAGAGAAGACTGAGTGGAAATAATCTGGTGGCAAAGAGAAAAATTCATACCTATTTACAATACTGAATGAGCTAACCCACCTTTCAAACAAAGAGCAATATTGAACTATATTATGAGATTTCAGGTTTTCACAACAATGAGAGTGAAGACTACATGGCGCAACAACCCAGCAGACAGCCATCTTGAACTGCATAATTCTTTCTTTCTTATGATGTTCAAAATTTCCATTTAATGCAACGTGAACTTTACACACTTTCTTGTTCTAATAATGAAAGCTTTGACTCAAAACACACAGCTTGAACATTACTGTGTACACACACTTCTATCGCAGTTTGCATTCCCTTTGTTCTCATTCACATAAAACATAACCAACCAATGAACTGACAAATCTCCCGCAACAAGAGTTTAACATTCATCGCTTCTTCAAATCGTGCAGTGTCTTTGGGTTGGTTGCTGAGACATTTCTCTAAAGTGTCCAAAACTATGAGCAATGACTCATAGCAGTTGTATTCCATATCAGGTCCGAGAGGTCGTGATCCTGACACTACGAAGAGAAACTGAAACAAAAGACAATGTCACTTTGGAACACATTCATAGTTTCAATGCAAGATAATTAACAACAATCAATTTGTTTCCTTACTTCAACGATCATTTCATTTTTTTCATGACCAAAAAGACATCTTACTGTTTGTTTGAACAGTAGTTTATACTAACAATGAATCCCTGGTATGTAACTGGACAATCATGACATTACAAGAGATAATTTAAATTTTAAACATTTACTAATTTAAATAAAACATTATTCTGCTGATTTTATTTATATTAAAATGAAAATATATCAGTTAAAAATGTTTATGTTCCACTGACATCTTAAGAAACATCAAATAAGTAATCACTAGCTAATTTTTACAGTACCTATTTTAGTGCTCAGCTTATATATATGAAAAAAGTCACTACTTACAATTTCTTTGCTACTGCCTAACTAAAATTTTGGCCCAGACACATAGTCCGACTACTTGTGATATGTTTACATCAAATATGGGAAAAGAATTAACACTGACAGAATGTCTACAAAATCACAGATGACAGAATAATTTAAATGCTCTTGTAGCCACTGAAATTAATGTACTTGTATCTATATTAAAGTCAAATGTACCTAATCACATATTATATTAAGTCTGTGTCTTGAAAAGTCACAAAGATACTTTATGACCACTCTTAAAAATCAGACATGTTGATCTGATTACAATTTACATCATGAAGTATGGAAAGAAAGGAGAATTGCATATTTATATCAAAATGACTTTAAATTTGCATGTGTCTTAGAGCTTAAAACTACTTCATACTCAATCATTATAGCCAGCCATTCTGATTTAATTGCAGTTTTCAAAAACAAGAATGGGAGGAGGGAGGAGAAAAAAAGAACTACATATTCATGTGTAAATATTAACAAAAATTCACTTTCAGGTAAGAAAATTTATTAAATTCCTTACCATTTCATTGACACGCTGTAATATTTTTGTAAGACCAGAAATGACAAGTGAAAAACGATATCGGCTGATTTGAATTAGACACTTCTTATTTTGCTCTTCATTTACACGAGAATGGGTCGTCTGTGGTCCTGCACGACAGGGCAGCTGAAATCAAAACACAATACAATGTATATATTTTAATTGTATGTTACATAACTGTATGGGTGTAAACTTTGAGGTTTGATTTGTCTAAGAGATTTTTTTAAGAAGGTGAGTCATTAATCTGATGCATTTATTATGGTCAGCTAGTCAAGAAATTCCCTGCACTTTAAGGAACCTTAAGTTTCATCAGTGCATTCTAAAAGCCTGCCATTCAGTCCTTATCCTGAGTCAAATGAATCTAGCCACACCCGCAAAACCTGATTTCCCTTCTATACATCTTAATACTATCCTCCCACCCACATCTATGTCTCCTGAGTTGTCTCTTCCTTTTACGCTTTCTAACCAAAATTATGCATGCATTTCTCATATCTTCATATGCACTAATATCATCTTCCTTAACATAAACAACTACAAATTATGAAGCTCTTCATTTTTCTCCCAAGCATCCTGATCTTGAAAACCTTTAACATTAATCATACAGTCCTAATTTTAAGAAAAATAAAGGGATTATGAGTGAAATTGCTTTAAACTGCAACAAAGTCAGTCTCCATTTAACATGAGAGACCAGGTTTCACACTCATAAAAAAAATATATATAATTACAATTCTGCTACTAGAAACAAGTCATACTCACCGACGTGAAAACCTCAAATGTTACAAGTATTGTATTTGTGCCATGACCTGTTCTACATCCTTGGCTTAGGCATATGCAGGATCTATGAAATGTAAATAAATTCTATTCTATTCTGCATATTCCATAATCATTTTTACACAGGAAACAGGAGAGCAAAAGATTCTGAACTGCATGGTAGCAAGCATTCCTCAAATTTAGTATACTCTCATGAATGCAATTCTTATTTTTTAACATCAATCTCAAATATGTGAACTCTGCCATATTTTCAAAGGATTTATTAGCTACCTTTATACACTGATTATGTCCTGTAGTCTTGATGAGACAAAGAACATGTATGTACGTACTTAGTTCTCTCCATGTTTACTAGTTTCATGCAATTCTCATTCCAAATGTCAATTTGAAAATAGCTTCCCTTCTAACTATTGCACTGACATCTAATAAAATGTTCATGTGATACTTGAGGAAAGATATAATATATGCTCTTGTGCCTCATAAAATCTGTGCTATGTAACATTACATTTATCTTCAGTTGGTGTATACACAATCAGAACAATATCACACCAACGGCCTCTTTAACTCTGCATCTACCCTCTCAACAACTTATATGATCCCCTTGTGTACAAAGAAACCTGTACCTAAGAGATGATCAATAATCCTATCTCCATAGAAGAACATATAATTCTCTCCCAGTACAGCATTACCTTGTCCCATCCAACTCACTGGAGTCCTAACAAATCTAACTTACATTTTGCAAATTCTCTTAACAATACTTCCAAAAAGTGTGACCTATAAGAACACCTGGCATTCCAAGTTCCAAATCTCATTCATTCATGTTCTTCCCCCTCCACAACCGGTTGGCCCAGCCCATTCATAAACAAGCTGCAAATTATTGATTTTTTATTACAGCCCTTATAGTAACAGAAACTGAACTATTCTCAATAACGCACACGTCATGTTTTCAAAAGCATCACAGTACCTGCTCTTCGAATCGTGTAATTAACCACGAGACCCACTCAACCGGCTTCTGCGTCCCCATAATACGTAACCAGACCAAACAATAACATACACTATCACACTCCCATAACTTTTACCGCCATTTTGTAACTGCTCCTCTGTAGACCACGGATAAGCTAGCCAGTTATCACAGAAAGCATCCATGCCTGGGGGAAGGAACGAATACCAGAGACTTACAGATATTTTTGTCTGTGATAGTGCTGGCGCTCTCATTCGTTTCATTAAAATTGTATTAAGCTACTAAATTGCCCGTCAAGAATGACTAGAAAATCTGAAGTAGTAAATACACAGTGAACTTATGGGGATAATATGTATAACTGTGAAGATTTATGTCTTCAGGGTTGTTGCGCTGTGTAATCTGGTCGATGTTTACCAACGTTTCAGAGGTCATACTGCCTCCGTCATCAGGGCGCGATGAATTCATCGCCCTGATGACGGAGGCAGTATGACCTCTGAAACGTTGGTAAACATCGACCAGATTACACAGCGCAACAACCCTGAAGACATAAATCTTCACAGTTATACATATTATCCCCATAAGTTCAAAATCCCTTTGTGTAATCAAGCACGAACTAATAAGCACTATGCTAAGAGATCATAAAGGATTTTGGTTATTATTCACGCATCCTTATGCTACTTAATACAAGAGTGGTTTCAGATGCAGGAATTTGGTAACTGTAATATACAAAAAGAAACCAAACAAACAGATTTAGAAATAGTTATTGTCAAAAACCCCAATACTTAATCAAAATTGTACCAACGAAGATATTAAGGGCAGATTATATTCCGAGAATTCTTGATACTATGTAGTTTTTCTTCCGGTCAGTTACCTAGAAACTCTGAAATTAAAATATGCAATACTAATATTACCTGTTGTTTGTGTGGGTGTGAATCTTGGCATTTTACATAATGGGACAAGCACAGACAGAGTATTTTTATAAAGGGTACTGTGAGGAATATTTTGACCAAAATTAATTAAGAAAATTGCAAAATAACATCCATAATTTGCATTCTTCACCAAATATTATAACGATTAACAAATCAAGTGGCATATGTGGAAAATGAGAAATGCCAACTTGGAAGATTTACACATATAGATAGGTCTTCAAAAAAAAAAAAGGGCACAAGGGTGTACATCAGAATTATATAGCTGGAGACAGGAACAATTATGACAGGCTCTTGACAACATAGTAAACCTTCATGGAAAGAAATGTCTTGACTAGCCAAGTGACTATTGGCTTCTCAGGGACTGTTTCACTGTATTGTGGTGGAGCCCAAGGGCATGGAGTGATGCATGAGCCCACCCCTTAAAATATTAGATGCATGGCACATTCCCCCTTCAAACTTTGTAAATTATGTTCAAAAGCAATGTCTGTAAGAAACATCAATATATATCACTGATTCAGGATAAAATTAAACAAAACTGAAGAGAATTATGTACAGCACAAGCATAGACATTATGGTGGTTGACAGAACTTAGTAAAAAGGCGACTGCTATGCTAGAAGTTTAGTGTTTAAACACAACTGCAAAGACAGTGGTTTTGCTGAAATTCAAATACTTGCTGCCATCCTTTATTCAAACTCTCATTAAAATTATAACAGATGGAAAGCACAATCTTACAATGTGCAGATGCCATTAATGCCAAGTTTATGTAATTCCCAAAATTTCCTTACCTTGAAAAATTTATACTTTCATCTGAAATCCTTTTAAACAGTAAATGAACATTCTTCATACTCACTGCTGTGAGAACCTCAAGTCTTACATAGTAAATGAACAATTAATGTTAGTCACTTACTTCAGTGCTCCATCTGGATGGGTGAGGATGTTGAAATTCAAAAGTGAATGATTTATCTTCATCCCTTACCTACTTCCTTCCTTTCATCTATCTCCTTCACTCCTTTGTCTTATATTCCTTTCCCAAGTCAATTCCTGTTCCCCTTTCTTTTCCATTATCCTTCTACCATTTTTAAAGATGTAAAACTTTATAAAACTATTAGGTATAAACTGCCTACTATTGCCCATAGCCTTTATTAACAAACTGTAGCACATAATTACATATACTTTAAAATATGTTCTTTAAAATTCAGTGTGTTTATATGAGGGACACAAATATTAATTTCAGTAAGTCCATGAACTTTGGGCAGAATCATTTAATCCATATGGTAGATGGATAGAACTATTTCACTGATACTACACTTTGTTGTTTTTAATGCACTTATTAATTTTATTCAGAATATCAGCTTTTCATGAACATGAATAATCTTTTATCTATAGCACTCTGCTTTCATAATTTTGACTCACATTTCAGATCAGACATGTAAGACATAAAACTTCAGGTATGAAATATAGCCAATAACTAACAATATTCCTAACAACTTCTTGCACATGTGGATGCCAACAAGTGTATGGACATTGAACCTTAATTACTAGGGATAAAAGAACATACCACATGTATGTCTACATTCTTTGTTAAATAAGTATGTAATGTTTTCAATATCACATTTGACACTTGTCAAAAATAGGACCTTTTTGTGACTTCATACTTTAAATAAACATTTTGTCACAACTTTTATTTTTAAACAATGTTACAAAATGGATACAAAAAATTAATTTCCAAAACATAAGTACTACAACATTAGCTCACCAGAATTGTACACCTCTATTTCTAAATACCCAACTATGTTCGATAAAGAAGACATCTAAAACTTGATGTGGAAACTATATCATGCCAACATCTATAGTGACAGGAAATATTTACCGATAATGATACAGTATTTGCAGACATTATTCTATGTGTGAGATTTGAAATTCCCACAGTGACAATGTTAACACTGGTCTTCTGGGCTGTAATGCCATGTAGACTTGTAGGTACATACAAACATTTCATAGATTCAGAGACAAGATGTTTCTCCAAAACACTGGTGTCTGCCTAGAAGTAAACACAGCATAACAACCTAAGACCAACAATGACATACATCTACATGCTTTCCACAGCAACATTACACCAATTTCTTTAAACTTCATGGGTATGATCTGTAGACAATTCACTAATACAAATTTGCAAACCAGTCTTGAATATGTTTAGTACAAACAGACCAAAAAAATTCACATAGAAATCTGTATACTTGTTTTAAGGGTGCTGGGCTCTGATTAAAATTCTTCTCAAACAGATAAGTACATTACTTGAAAGATAAAAACATAATATGCTATTGGCCATTTAAAGAAAACACACACAACATATAGGTTTATGCTTTAAGGTCATACTTATACTTTTGTGCCCATACGTTACACAAACAGACTTTACAATTTGACACTTCGAGCCCTAATCTTTGATAGTCACACTAGTGTATTTTTGGCAGCACACTGCCAAATATGCTATTTGATATATATAAAAAACATATGAATACACTTCAGTCCAGAGGTATCTTCCAAGTTTGAATGGATCAACCTTATTATTACCAAAGTTTGTCAACAACTCCAAAACTTAAGGTGGGATATGTTTTCCATATAGCCAATGTCATAAAAATTAATGTTATTGTCTTGTTAGGGAGTATGTGAGAATTATTTATCATATAAATACTCCCTGCATTTGCATTATTAAATTTTTCTGTATGTAGCTGAATGACTTTGCTTCTCAATAATGACTGTGTTCCATTTACTTATTTTGTTAATGTTTCTGTCCACTTTTTTATTATATCTAATACCTTCTATCAATTAACATAAATGATGATAAATGCAGTGTACTTACAAATACATATCTTTCTCAGTTTCTCCCCCTCTAACGTGGCTCACAATCCTATAAAGCATTTTCTAGATTTCTTCAGATGGATATCTTTACTGGCAAGGAAAGTAAATACATAGCAAACCCCTCACAACTCAGGTAAATACCAAATTAACATAATGATTAGCAATGGGGATAAAGCAGATTAACATCCATACCATATATGTAATTAAATCTGAAATTAAATGAATCACAATTATATGCACTACATTCAAACAATGTCAACTACAGCAAGAAATTTTAAAATATTTCATTAATAAATAACTTGTAAGACTTTCTAAAAAAATTGCAGTTCAGACAACTGCATAATGAAATTAAAGTTGGATAAATATTATTCAACACCAGAAGCAATGCACTTACAGTCATCAACACAATTCTGGGTGGAGGTGAGGTGAGGAGAGTAAAGTTCCAAGATTCTCCTGAAACGATAAGTTATTACACGAAACGTGTCTTTTATGACACCACTGAAACAATCTATGAGATGAAAGTACCTACATTCATAGCAACAGAATCATTTAAAGGAAAAAAAAATGTATCTTTATTTTACTTTGTGTCTCTGAATACCTCCACATTGGCATTTTAAATGCACAGTACAAGTTCACCTGTCACCATAAAAGCCTTCTGTATTTTGGTGTCATCAGTCAATGCAGGTTTGAACTCCATCCTCTAGATTCTTTAGTAGTCATTGTTGAAATCCGGAGTAGCCAGTTTCAACAAATTCTGAAGTGGAAAGGGATACTGTCTAAAGTATTTATTCTTGATTCAAACTAGAATAGCAGATAAGACTCCAACAGAACAAAAAGGTCTGAATGAGGACACTAAGAAACACAGGAAGTAGAATATTTTGTCACATGACAGGCTGGGAGGGCTGTTACAGAGACTTATAAATGCAATGTGTCACTGACGTAAACTACAACCACGCAGAGTACTCCTGATACAGTATGAGAGCATCCACATCCTGATTTATTTTAAAGACCTATAATATATATATATATATATATATTTATATTTATATATATTTTTTGTAACATTTTAATATGTACACACAAATATTCTACTTTTACACACATATTCAGTCACCACAGTAATTCAGAGACTTAACATTGTAGAAGTACAACACAGATCATATTGGAATAAAATTTCATTCACTGAAAAATTTCCTATGAAATCTGAATTAACATAAATATGTACTACACAGTGATGTATTTTATAACAAAGGGATGCTAATGTCAAAGGAAATAATGTTTCAGAAGTAATTAACATTACATCCCAAGGGTTTTATTGAATACAATGCTTCTTTTATCAAGCTACAACATACAGAAGTATAATGACTTTTATCATGCCTATAGAAGTATCAAAATACATATTATGTTAAACTTAGTCAAACAGATTATAAATATATACATCACTTTCTCTATTACCTCATGATACAGATAAAATATTACAAGAGGCAACAAGACACAAAAAATAAAGGTAGAAGGTGCAACAGAAAACAAACAAACAAAAATTGGAGTTTCACAATGTGTTCAAATTCTACTGTCCGCATAATGACAATCAACAACCACACTGTCTGTATCCAAGACGTTCATATAAGTCAACAGAGACATAGTGTAGTGAGGCAGGTAAACATATGATGAGTATGCAACAAGACCAACAATCAACACAATGATACTATCTGTTCAATAGTTAAGGAACATACAATCTCTCACACCTTCTTTGTATCATATTTAGTGAAGATGGCAAAAATCTGTTCCTAATATTTAGAAAAATTGATTTGAACCAAATCAGATGGGTTGGCTTTCAAATTCACCTGTCCCTGGCAACGAAATAAAGCTAGTGAATTCAGTATAATACATAATTATATGATAGATCTCTCTCAAAATATATCATCACCATGAACTATGTAAGATTCAACTTAATTACCTGTTTAACTCTCTAGGTATAACTGGTCTGTCCTCTGAACATCTCAAATACCTTCATTCTAAAGGTTTACATTCCAGTGCTTGCACTGGTCATCATCATCGTCTGTGGTTCTACAAACCAGTATGAATTTTGGCAGCATTTTTTGGAGGTTACTGAATCTATTTAGATACTTGGTAGGACTCTTCTGACAAGTGATCAGCCTGTCACAAGACCTCTACCTGTACACAGGACATCACAACACAGAAATACATGCCTTGAGTGAGTTCAAACAAACGGTCCCAGTGTCCAGGCGCACAGGGCCCACACCTCAGACCGTGCGGCCACTGTGACCAGCCTGCTTGCTCTGGTATCAAGTCTTAACTCTGCATATATGTTGTAACCAATTCTTATAAAGCTCTATGTTTCGCTAATAATATTTCAAATAATTTTTATATGATATCTGTATCCTGTTCATGATAGTCTTGTACCATTCAACAAAGGTCAAAGAAATATTATAATATAGCTAATACTCGAAATTCAACAATATACTTATATTTTTCTGAAAATTACTTGCTTTAAAAATAAATATTTTTGTCCATTATATTATTTTTTGGAATATATTGTTTAGGTGAGACAGAGTGAAGGAGATAGACATTAATTAGTGTTATAGAGAGTGGGCCATTAATATTCATTATCAATCAGTTCCTTAAAAGTGTGATAATACAGAACAATATACTTGCATGTTATGATGATTTATTATATGCAGAATACTTTGTTTCTTAGTGATAAAATTCAGTGTCCAAACAAAATATTTAAGTGTTCATTTCTCACATATTTGCAAGCCTACGTCAATTAAAAATATATTACATCAACCAGGTTTTATAATTCTTCCCATAACACACCTGTGTTGTTAAACTTGATTTCAAACCTACAGACTCACTGGTATAATCCAAGGCTCAATAAGTTTTCAACCAAATCACCCTCACCCCCAATATGTCATGATTTTGCTCATATAAAACTAAATAAATGATAAGGTTATGAAAACAAACCTCAGTTGGTAAAACTTGACCCAGTGTTAACATATATATTCTACTTATTCGTTTCTTGGTTTCTATTTGTTAAGATCTGTAACTATCTGCATCACAAATTACTGAAATTAATGTTACCTTACACCAGTTGGCAAAAAAACTGCTGTCACTGTACTTCTGTAAATACGCAAAAGATCCAGTATCTGTAACATAACCTCCAACATATACAAAAAACTGGCAAACTTCTTCGCAAACACTCAAATTCTCTTGTCCCTTGGTACGTATGACGTATGAGTTACAAAACTGTATGTGCTTTAAAGGATACTAAGTAATTTTTTCTCCCAAGGTTCAAATATATATAAGCAGGTTATTAGTTCATATTGGAGATACCAATATGATAATATTTTCATTACTTTGTCAAACATGTCAACTTCGTACACCGTCTAAAATACGACTGAAGGAAACAAACTCAAATGCCTTGCAAGTCACGTAGTAATATTCTCCTATCAATGGTACAATACTGTGACTGACTCTGTGTGTGTGTGTGTGTGTGTGTGTGTGTACAATAACAGTGTTACCAATCATACCAAATTACCTGGCAGGTAATCGGGTATACAACGATTCTGTTTCTTGTACCTAACAAGATGCTTAACGAAGCAAAAGGAAACTAGCACCAAGGTGTTGTGGTTTTAGTCCCATCTAGAAGGATATTATAAAACTAGCATATTCCAAAGTGGTTTGTATAACGCGCTCTTTTGATGTGGGAACGATACCCGAAAGACCCCTAAAGCCTGATTCACACTAGTCAAATAACTTAAAATCTCATGTATGGCGTGCCAATGTTGGTATCACAGATAACCTTGGTATAATCTGTATAACCTACTGAACAGGAAACTCTGTTTCAAGTTTACCAGCGTTCCGCAACCTTTTCTCATCTGCGGCATCCTAATTTGTCAAAGGCACATGACGGCACAGCACAAAATTTCTCGTCATGATGATAGGGTATGAAAGTACATGTCCTGAATATGCATCAACATATGAATCCTTGCCTGTAAAAGTGCAGTCATGAAAAAACATCACATGCTGAATTAAAGTATTTATGATGAACCAGTGTGTGTGTGGTGTATTACGAACTCCAGTTTCCAAAGATACGATATAGCCTTTTGCCTGTCTATAACGTGTGAACATACTCGTAGCACACAGGTTGCGCAACCCTGAAGAAGACACACAATCGGGACGCAAGGGGATCTCCAGTCTTGCCGAACCTCCCTACAGCCCCACCACGAATGGCCACATTGTAGACGTCACTATACGCACACACACATCAATCTTTTGTATACGACACGAAGTACTGTTGGAGGCATATTCCAAAGCTGTGAACGTAAACACACACGTAATTATGTTTTGAGACACTAATTATATTCTATTTACGTCATTTCTTTCTTTTTTTCATCTAGTTTTTGTCGACCTCCAATTGTGCAGCCCTAGTAGACCGCCTATTGTGCCAAATAGTTAACCGGGAGCGATTAAGATATCTATTCAACATTTTACCTGATTTTAAGCAAAGGAAACAGCAACTTGACAAAAATCTGCTATTTGATTCTTCAGTTAATGAGAGAAAATAGTTTATGGCAAGTACTTCCCATCTCTTACTATAAAAGTAAAGATTACAATGCACAACGCTGTAAGTGTATTTACTTTTCATGGGTATGAAATTTGGTGTTCAATTTTATTCTTGCTGCTTTGTGACGTAACTTGAATCAAGCTGCTAGGCTTTAACCGGATATGACGAGTAAAAATTCAGTATTAATAACTGGAAACTGGTACAGTACAAGGGGTCCGCAGTGGCCGTTATCTGAATCAAAATAGACCTTACGCCTATTTTTGACTAAAGAATTTTTGTTTCAGGCTTAATTTAATGCAAATCTGTCATTTATATTGACATGAACAGAAAGAATGACTGGCGAAAAACTTCCCTAAATCTTTCGCAAAATTACTTTCATAATCCATTGTTACTTACTTACTTTGACGACCCGTTCTTCAAGTGCCTAAGCACTGCGGGTCCCAACTTTTCGTTGGCTTGATCTATAGACATTCGGTAGGACTCCTTGGACGGGGGATCGGCCAGTCGCAAGGCCTCTACCTGTACACAGGACACGCGGACAAACATCCATGGCTTGAGTGGGATTCAAACCCACGGTCCCAGTGACCGCGCGGCCACTGAGACGGCAATCCATTGTTAATCACAAAGTAAACTTCTGCTAAATTAATGATCTATAAATGGACCACATCTATGAAATCTAATATTAGGCCTATTAATATAATTTACGTTGTCCATATCAAACATGAATAAAAACTACAGCAGCAGTTTTTAACTGGAATAAAAACTACAGCAGCAGTTTTTAAATGATTGCAGGTTTATTAAAACTTTTTTTTTACACTTTAGGCAAATTTCATGTTTATTCTAACTATTCATCTGAGTTATTCAAATAAAGTAACAGAGTAAATCTACTACTTTTGGATAAAACATTTCTGCAATCTATCTAATGTTTAACGACGTAGTCTAAACTATGTGCATGCCGTCAATTATATTGTTGGTCTTTGAACGTACATTATCACCATATATTTAACATCGCAGGTTTTCAAAGGACTTGCTTAAATGCAAAAAATATTTCAATTAAGTTTGAAAGAACGTTCCTGAGTCATCTTTATTGATAAAAGGAGCCCGAAACATCTCTCTACTGCAACGTGATTCAAAGATAATTACACAGGCATTAAAGATGTAACTACTATACCAATATGACGTTACATTAACGTCGATTGGAGAGGCTTAGGCCTTTAATGTCCTGTTAGGTAGACAGCTACCAGAATTATGCCAATGGACACTTACAATACCAAGCAAACTGTGATCACGTTATCTTTGGTACAAGATTAAATTTGAAAATACATCTGTGAATTATTCTAACGTACGACGAAAATCTGCAATGTTAATTAATATTGCAGCTGGTACTCTGGTGTCATGCAAGGAGAATATATTGCTTCCGAAGAGTCTGCATGCCAGTACATTGCTGGTAGTTCTTCCTTGAACCCTGAAGCTGTCAGGTCTTCCTGTTGATTATCAACTACCGTCAAGCCGTACTGTGGATGCGGAGATGTCGTGGGCATGATGCTGTAATCACTGGATCCTGGGTACACGACACTGCCCTGCAGCTGGTACGTTGAGGGCAGAGACTCGATGTGATTCACTGCCCTGCAGCTGGTACGTTGAGGGTAGAGGCTCGATGTGATGAGGGTAGTAATACGGGTCCCGAGTCATATCTGGCCATGTGATTACACTGTGCTGTTGGGCGGAGAATCGGGTACTGCATGTATCTACAGTCAGGTCGGGACCTATCTCCAGCAGGGTCTGTAAATGACGGATGTACCGGATAGCCAGTCTGCAGATAAACAAAATTGAATTCCACAATGGAGCGGTGGTCTTGCTTAGTGCAGTTTTATGATTTATCGTAGGCGTAAACATACTTAGATGAAATCAGAAATACTTTAAATGCAACGAATTAACGGATGGTTTAAAATTGAGATTTGCCCCCTGCAATAAGACAGTGACACCTCTGGATTAGATGTCATTAAAATAAAACTGAAAGTCTTGATGATGCATAACATTTATTTCAAATAGATTATAATTAATCACAGTTCTAGTTACCCTCTAACACAAACATTGTAATCGTTGTGTTGGCATGTAAAATATATTATGAATTGCTCATGTGAACTTGCGCTGTTCTTGCAATCACCCACCCTCTAACACAAACATTGTAATCGTTATGTTGCCATGTAAAATAAATTATGAATTGCTCATGTAAACTTGTGCTGTTCTTGCAATCACCTACTTTTCTGGATTTAATATTTCCTCACCTAAGGGACTCGATCTTTGACAGTTTCTTCCCCGGAGGCTTGCATAATGGCAATTTCTCTCTCAGTTGGTCGAATGCTCGATTCATGTCTCGCATTCTCGTTCGCTCGCGATCGCACGCAGATTTCTTGTAGTCTGCGGATACGAACACACGTCTAAACATGATTATGATATTTTATTTTATAACGA